TACCCTATTATTCTTTGTAACTTCTCTCGATGGAAAAGCGTTATGTTCAACAGATGTTAGTGGTCGAGGAACGTCATAAAAGGGAGAAGAGAAGACACGACGAAGAAGGTTTCTCAAGACAAAAATGTTACTTGCTAAGAACACACATATATATATATATATATATGTGTGTGTATGTAACATAAGTAAAAGCACATTCTCTCTCTCGAGAGAATATTCGATGATGATCGTGAGTGGAAAATACGAAGACGAAGCCAAACTAAATGAAATCTTTTGCTGATGCACATATTTTGCTTAAAAAGAAAAAGAAGATGAAGAAGATGAAGATAAAGAAAAAGAAGAAGAGTCAATCTCTCTTTCTTTCTTTCTTTCTATCTTTTTATATTTTTCTTATCATTTTTACAGGCGTCAGCGATACGTCGGGGCGAAGGCGTATAATATAATGTCCTTGGATATAAATAAATTGCAGGAAAAAAAGGAAAAAAAGAAAAAAAGGGAGAAGGGGAGGAAGGGGGACAAAAAAAAGAAGAAAAATTATATAAATGCAACGCGAACGTGATAAGAACGTACGTACGTACGTACGTACACCGTAGTATTATTACTCGTACAGTTTTAACTGGGTCTAAAGTAAAGAAACTGCATCGCAATGATGAGTGTATTTCTTTTTTTTTTTTTTCCATTGATAATATTTTTGTTCTCTCTCGAAACGGATAGGTGACTTTTTTTTTTTTTACCTTTTCTTATTTTATTTTTTTTATCGACACGAATCGAATAAATAATATCGAGTGTGCCAGATATAAAATATTTAATACGCGTTTTTAAAAGATATTTATTTATTTTTTATTCAGTAACATTATATTAATGAACATTCTTCTCAGAAAAAGAAAAGAAAAGGATAGACCCCCCTCCTCACAACGATCTTATCTTTATTTTAATCCCTTTTTTTAATCCACATGACCTAAATTCAATATTTTTATCTTGTAATTTATTTCAGTAGTGACACTTGGTGTAATTTTTAACTTATGATTTTTGTGGAATAATATCACGAAACGAGATGGTAAAACAAAAGCTATTCTCCGATGGGGCACGCACGATGACACACACACGATACAAATATGTATAGGTATATATATTTGTTTCTTTTGCTTATCATAAAGCTCGAAACATTTTTATCGATTAATCTCTCCCCTTTATTTAATTCTCTATACAATATTTTCTTTATTAATCTTACTACACGATTTAACGATTGAAATTTTTAATCTTATAATCAATCATCCGTCAACGATATCCTTCTAAGAATATTATTATTAACGATCGATATAATATAATCTCAAATACTTACGTTGAAAACAAACTAACCCTTTAATACACTTTCAATTTATGATTTTATTTATTTATTTATATTTTTTTTTGATAAAGAACGCTTAGCATCCCCGATTCATCGCCATTTTGTTTGCAAACGTACGCTGCAAAACACGAAAGAACGTACCACACACACACACACACACATATATATATATATATATAAAATAGTGTATTGATTTCTACGTATACTATATCCAACAGAATAATCCGCCATTTTGTTTTTCATTTTCACGATCTTAAATATTTTACCAGAGATTAGGTAGACGAAAAATAAGAAAAAGAAAAAGGAAGAGGGGAGACAACGATAAAAGTTTGGTAGCTTGTCAAAAGTCTGTAACTTGACATATACATATATATAGAAATATATATATGTATTATATATGTGAATCTCTCTCATCGAAAGAGAGAGAGAGAGAGAGAGAGAGAGAGAGAAGTTGTGACTCGCCAGTTTGGAGAGCCCTTATGAAACATACATCCTTCCACCCTTCTCACTCCAATACACTCTCATCCTTCTCCTGTTTTCCTCTTCCTCCTCTTCCTCCTCTTCCTCCTCCTCATCCTCCTCTTCCTCCTCTTTCTCTTTCTCTTCTTCATCCTCCTACTCTTTCAGTACAGGGTCCATCGTCCCTACCAAAACAGAGCGCAGGATCAAGGCTCAGGAGGGCATGCATTTGGCTGCGTTGTTCAACTTGGAAGCCCTCCAATGGGCTTCCTTCCCTCTTTACTCTTTTCTCTCACTCATTCTCTCTCTCTCTCTCTTTCACTCTTCCTGACTTTCTTCGTTCCTCTGCTAAAAAAAACCCGTTTTAAAAGTCCACAGGAATGTGTGTGTGTTCTCTCTCTTTCTTTCTTTCATTTTCTTTTTCTTTCTTTTTGAGGTAGAAAGAAAAAAAAGGGGCCTTTCACCTTTTCTTTTTCGCGTGTAAGAAGAGAGGAACCACAGGGATTGTTTCTTTTTTTTTTTATTGTTCATACGGCGGACGTAAAAATTGGCGGGAAATTTGAACGAAAGTAAATAGAAAAAAACAAAAGAATTAAGAAGATTATTTCGATTGGTCGAAGATATAAGTGGTGGTAGAAGGTATAACCATTTGATTGGAGAATATCAATTTTACTCGATTTCTGGAAGAATTTTATCAAGGAATTTATCTTCTTACTCTCTCTCTTTCTCTCTTTATCTTTATCTTTATCTTAAAATGATCGGCAAAAGGAAACATTATCTTGTCAGAGCTTCGTTCGAAAGTCCGGATGTAAACAGTTCGTAAGTCTTGTCTCTATAAATATTTGCCTTCAGGAATCCACTCTCTCTCTCTCTTTCTCTCTCAGTCTCTCTCAGTCTCTCTCAGTCTCTCTCAGTCTCTCTCAAACATGGTCCTTTGCAAAGGACCAAGGTATACGACCGTTTATCTGATGTATATATCGTCAGTGTGTCGAACAGAAAAAGAGAAATGGGGAGAGAAAGAGAAAGAGAGTGAGAGAGAGAGGGGGTGGGGATGGGGGGAGGGTAGATCGAACGAATTCTTTTCGAAAGATCGAAGATAAGGATAAAAAGAAATAATGCTGCTTCTTTTCTCGGAATACCCCAAGCACATTTAAAGGAAAGTTTGGTTAAACTATTTGTAAAAAAGAAAAAAAAACTGTATAAAATATCTAGAAATATCTTCTTTTTTTTTTGTTATCTTGTAAAAAAAAGAAGAAGAAATATATCCCACGTGTTAAGGGCGTGTAAATCAATGGGGAAAAAAATGTATCTAAAAAAAAAAGAAGAAAGAAAAAGCTTTGTAGGAGAATCGAATGAGAATTGTTGATATATTCGAAGAAACTAAACCAACGGAAATTACAAGGATTCTTTTTGAAAAGTTTAGAACGATGTGATGATTCGTTCGAAGGATATATATATATATATATATGTATATATTTAAGCTGTGGAATCGAATAACACGGATCATTGAGTTCGCAGAACGCTTTCGTTCGTCTTCCTTTAGCAGTGCTCTTAGAAATTGACTGCGAGCTCGAATTTATGAGCGGATCGAATTATCCGTATTTGCTTACAATCCTCTCTCTCTCTTTCTCTTTCTCTCTCTTTTATACATTTATGTAGATATATTTTTTATGAACAATTTAGAAAGATGTTAAATCCATCCTATGCAAAGTGTTTCCAACACTTTTCTTTTCTCCATTTTATTTTTATATACGAATAAAGTATATACAAAAATAAAAAGATATTTTTCTTAAATAATAATATGATTCTCTGTGTGTGTGTGTGTGTGTGAAAATTATGATTAAACAATAATTTATCTTAAAAATATAATTCTCTGAGAAATAGAAAAAAGAAGAAAAAAAAAGAAAAGTAATGCAAGTATTGTATAAACGATTTAATGTTGAAACACAGAACACGCATTGGGATGCACATTTCGTAGCTTGACAGTAAAGAGACGACGCCATTTTGAAACGAACAATCTGCGAAGGTACAACCAACCCCGAGAATTGCGATCAAGCGGTACACAGGAGTGGACCGGATAAAATACTACTACTACTACTACTATTACTACTACTACTACAACTACATAGCCGTTACAATCGAATCCCGTTATCCGGATATCCGAAGGCGTACAGGTAGGTTCGATCTGTGCACCGTACGCATAGTTGATTGGTCAATGGAAAATGGCAATCAAAACTAGCGAAAAATTTTCTCTTAACTTTCACAAATTATATATTATTATACACCAATGAACTAAGAAACGTCTACTTAATATCAATAAAATGATAATGATAATGATGATGATAATGATGATGAAAGTAATATTATTAATACGAGATTTTTATATCCGACATTTTTCTTCCCACCCTAACGAACAACCAATCATCAGCGTTCTACTTCAGGAACGTTAGAAAAAAAATTACAAGAACGAATAAACTCCATCCAATAAGATTAATTAAAAATCGCGAATTTATAACAATAATAATAATTTTGAGAGAGAATCTGATAGAGTTTAATGGAAAATATAAGAAAAGATTTTATCGATCATGTCTCACCGTCGATCCGTTTATATACACATATATACTTATATATATATATTATATATGTATTACATAACATATATGTATATGAAGAGGGTGAGGTGAGAGAGAGTTCGTAGCTCCCTCGGAACATCAAAGTTGAGCAGGACTTTGAAGCTGGCGCGACGAGGGGGATAGTGGGAGAGGCAAAGAGAGATAGATAGATAAAGAAAGAGAGAAAGAGAGAGAAGAGAAGAGGGGGAGTGAACCAGCGTCCCGCGCTACCCCGTAGAAACGCGACGCCTAGGAATGAGAAGCTTTAACGCGGGTAAAATCCATCGATCAGCCGTTCTAGAACGGACGAGGTGATCAACCCCGTTGTCCTTCAACAACGATGACGACGACGACGACGACGACGAGGGCAACTCCCACGATGTGTGCATATATAAAGATAGAAACAAAGAACCTATGCATGAAGGTAAAAATGGATGGCAACGGGGGGGGAGGGGGAGGGTGGTAAAATAAGAGATAAATCTAAAATGAGCAAGTTAGAAAAAGTAAATGGGGTAGGAAGAAAAATAATATCGAAAGATTAAGGTAGAGAAGGAAGTGGGGGAGGAGAAATTGGGACTTACCTCGTATTTGATGCCATTGAGTCTTAGCCACGTCTCGACCTTGAGGCAGTAGGGAGAAATCGAGGGCAAAAGTGCAGTACGGAAGAATTGATATAGATAAACAACGTCCTTCTCGTAGTTGGTTTTGTGAACGGTGACGGGTTTAGCCGGCGCCGAGGACGCCGCGGACGCGGCGGTTCCACCACCGGCACCACCACCACCACCACCAGCGGCGTCGGCAGCCTCCTCCTTTTTCCCGGCCTCCTCTTTCTTAGCAGCGGCGTCCTTTTCTTCTTGCTTGTTGTCCGGTGGCGTCTCATCCTTCAATGCCTCTTTCATATCTTTAACGTCCTTTATTTCCTTACTTTCGGGCCCGTTATTTTCCGTCTCGGTAGCCATAGTCATTTCGAAATGAAAATTCTCTCTCTATCTATCTCTATCTCTCTTTCTCTCGTATATACGAAAGCTTCTTCTTCTTTTTTTTATTACTTGTTGACTTTTTATATGCGTCTACTACTTCTCACGGACCGAGATATATCTATATATATCTATATATATATATATATTGGTATCAATATGCGTGTGTAAAAAAAGACCAAAGTATATTATCGTACGCACGAAGTAAAAAAAAGAGCGATCAAGGAAGAACACTCTCTCTCTTTCTTTCTCTTCTCTCTCTTCTCTTAGAATCGTATCAGCAACCACCGACGACTAGTCTCTGAACGACAGCACACGCACTGCACGGAACGCTAAGCCGGGTATACTCCTCTTTGGTGCACGTCGTCTCTCTCTCTGCCTCGCTGCCGGCCGGCTCCTTCTCCTCTCTGTACCCCCACCAACCCCCCGCCGATATGTCTACGCCGCCGGAGAGAGAGAGAGAGAAAGAGAGAAAGAGAAACAGAATGAGAGGGAGTGAGAGGGAGTGAGCCCCGTCATTCCACTCGGCGACGGTCCCCTTGGCTCCTCAGGCCCCTAGGCCCCCCACCAACCATCAATTCCCGACCCCCCACTTTACCCTTAGCTCAATCCAAACCTTTCTCTCTCTCTCTCTCATTCTCTTTTTCTCTCTACGCTACTCCTATCGTCCTTTTCGCTCCTGCGCAAGGCCTACGCGCACGTTCGGCGCATGCGCGAGCGCCACACCCCGCCACAGTAGTAGACACCGACGCCATATTTAATTGCTCCGCCACCCCTGACTCGCCCTCCTGTTCCTCCTCCTCCTCCACCACCACCTCCGCCACCACCTCCTCGTGTTCTGGCTACTCTATACTCTTTCTTTCTTTCTCTCTCTATCTATCTATCTATATATCTATTCTCCTCTCTCTTACTCTTTCTATCTCCGAGAGAACGCTGACGCCCTACGCCCTTCGGCAACGTCGCCACCACCGCCGCCACCGCCGCCATGCGCGTCCAAGGACCCGGCAACATCGCGCGCAAACTGAGAAAAACAGAGAGAGAAAGAGTGATAGAGAGATAGAGAGAGAGAGAGAGAAGAAATGAACGCTATACTAAAGAACACCCTTTTCACGGATTACTTTTTTCCACCTCTCTTTCTACGTGCTCAGACCATAGACTTTTTTTTCTTCTCTCTCTCTCTCTCTCTCTCTCTTTCTCTTCCACTATGTTTCGCCCTGTATTTGAGTAAGTACTTGCGAGCTGGATTCTATGATACTTTAGCTAGATTTTCTTTCTCTCTCTCTCTTTTTCTCTATTTCTGTTGCACCTTAAGAATTCCCTCTGCCGGTATGGAAGACATGTTTTATCCTAAGGTGTATTCCTCGGAGGAGACAGGTATCAACATTTCCGACCTTCTTCTTCTTCTTCTTCTTCTTCTTCTTCCACTTCTTCTCCTCCTACTATTTCTTCTTCTTCTTCTTATCGATCCTCGTTATCTCATCGATTTTGAAAAACAAATATAAATTAGGAATGTTGGGTGTTTTTAATTGAGATATAAGGGGGTGGGAAGAATTTTCGTTTTTTTTTCTTTCCTTTTTTTTTTTCGTAGGTCTCGTCACCTTAATGTTGGCTATGCTGAACGACATATTATTATTATTATCGTCGAATCGAATTCGTGCGAAAGGGGTTGCTGGGGCTGGGGTTTCCTCTCTCTCTCTCTCTCTTTTACGTTTCCTTGCGTTTCACTAATAAAGGGTGGAAGTGGGTGGTGGATCCGTCACGAATTTTCAACGAATAGATACTTAAGAATGCTTAATTATATATATACATTATGTTGTATGCACATGCAACTTATAGTACACTCGGTGTACATTTATTCCATGTGTAATACGCGTGTATGTACATGTATGTACATATATATATATATTCGACAGCAGAATAAGAAAAAGAATAAGAAGAATAAGAAGAAGAAGAAGAGGAGGAGGAAGAGGAGGAGGAAGGGGTGGTACCGTATACGAGCGTGTGACTTTTTAACCGTGCTGAATTAGCAAGAAACGGTTCGAGAAAACGGTAGTGCAGGCAATGTAATTTAATATCTATGAACATAGTTAGAATAGAATCGAATTACACATCAGTAGGAAGAAGAATAACATTTATCTTTATTATTCCATATTATTTTTTCTTTATTTATCTTTCGTTAAAATGTGTTTCAATAATTTATTAAATTTAGCGAACACGAATGTGTGTGTGAACGAATGAACGAAACACTCCCGGTTAGTTTGGATCGATATCTTTATTGTTTATCAGAAAAAATAAAAACCCTCGCACTAGCCACCCCTCGTACCACCCCCTTAGAGTCAACATATGTCAGTTTTATTTCTCTTTTTTTTTTTTGTCTTTTATATATTTTTCCTCCTTCCAATTTTCCACTTCTTTCCGTGACTCTTCCCTTTTTGGCACAGCTAATTTAAAATTTTTTTTTTTATGATTGAGATAGTTGTTAGTGCGCGTATTATTATTATTATTATTATTTCTTTCTCTCTTATGTCTTCGAGATAATTGTAATCGTCTTAACTTGTCTACGTTGCTTTTAATTGACTGGCAGAATGAACGAATTCCCCTTCGAAAAAAATAGCAGAGATAGAAAAGAAAAGAAGAAAGGAAGGAAAAGGAGACCGATACATATTTTGTTTCATATTTTTCTAACTGTTGTTACTGAAAATAAAATTAATTTATTATATAATTAATTAAAAAAAGAAATTCCTAATTCCTTTCTTATTGTTTCGTAAACGTTCCGTTAATAATTTTTGTTCAATATCTATATAATATTAAATATATTTAATATAGTTTATATATAATTTAATTAAAAATATGTATCATTGCAAATGATTCCTTTCGTGCCATTGATTATTTCTATACGATCAGAGAGAAGAAAAAAAGAAAAGAAAAGAAAAAAATAATTCAATATGATTTATAAGAAAAAAAGATACGTAAATAATGCATAAATTTATCATAAGTCATATGTACAATTTTGTACAGTAAGCCTAAATTATTTTATATTATAAAAAATAAGATTGAAACACTAATAGAATATATTTAAAACTAAATCAAATAATTTATTGAAATTGTTTCTATTACGAAAAAAACCATTCCAAAAGCATAAATCAAAACAAGTGAACAGAAAAAAGAAATACAGAATAATGCAACGTTAAGATAAGTTATATTTTCTTCTTACCAATTTTTATGCATAAATACATGTTCTTAAACATTATTAAAAAATAGCGTCATTCCTTGAAATTCCAAGAATGTCAGAAATTTGCTTCTGTTAAAAATCTCAATTTTCAATAAAATTTTCAAAGTTCTATCTAAAAATTAAGATTGTTTTAACAGGATCACATGATGTGCTAAGAAGTGGCACACCCAATCCTTCTTTATGTTTTTTAAATTATACTTTTCACTTATTTAAATATCTTCATTTTTTAGCAAAAAAAAAAAAAAAATAAACACTTCATAAATAGAAGAATAAAATATACCCCAAGGGAGAGGGTTGGCCTTTATTTCGTGGCCACCCCCTGTCCGTACATACACCATATAGAAATATTAGAAAGGGTGGGTTGTTGTTGTAACCACAATCTCGTATCCACCCCCTCATCCTCGCTGTTCATAACTACATCATCGTGACGTCATGCCGCGCAAAAAAAATTTCATTTAAATAATAATAGTTTTTATTTTCTAAAACTGGGTTATTTTAAACACGAATCCCATGCACTACTAACCCACTAAAAATTGGTAAGAAGAAAATATAACTTACCTTAACGTTGCATTATTTTGTATTTCTTTTTTCTGTTCACTTGCATGAATTTTTGCTTTAGGAATTTATTTTTTTCGTAATAGAAATAATTTCAACAAATTATTTGATTTAATTTAAATAATATTTTCCCATTAATTTCTCAATCTCGTGCAGAAGGTTTTTTTTTTAGATTTCTTTATTGCAAATCTAATTTTTAAGATAAATAAGATATAATTTATAATAATAATTATAAATTAAAAAACCGTAATAGATTATTCTTCAATCAGTGTTACGTGTTTTTCATAGTCAACTACTTTATTCATTGAGTTATTCAGAAAAATAACAAAAGAAAATAACTTACCTTAACGTTGCAGGATTCTGTAATTGTTTTTCTGTTCAGACGTTTGAATTTTTTTAATCTAGGAATTATCTTTTATTGAAATTATTTTTATTATATTAAGCTTTCCCTCTTTTTTTTTCTTCTTCTTTCAATGTTTTTATCTTTTAATAATTCTTTCCAATATTCGATTTTCCTGCAAATTGAAAACTATCCCTAGACGACGTGAATTTTTCTTTTCTTTTCTTTTTTTTTTCTTACCCCTGCCTAGAAAAAAATCTTCGTCCACCCATGGGGGGGGGGAAGTGAAGAGAGGGGAGGAAGGAAGCAAGGGTGACTTGCTATCTGGGAAAATTTCTATGAGTTCAATTTCATTCTAACAATACAGAATTCCTATTCGATATTCTAAGTTCGATCTAAGTATTAGAATATCTAATCTTAGATATTCTAAGTCAATCATCTTCTTGGAATACTTTATTGCATAGCTTTTTCATTTTCTATTAAATTAATAAATCATATAAACAAATTGTATCTTTTTTTTTTCGTTCACAAACGTTAAACAAAGTTTTGAACCAATAATATATGTATATATATACAGGGTGTCCCATATAACTCTAGTCAAGACTTTTCAAGTACTTGAAATAATCTGACAAAAAAATACTTTAAACCAAAGTTGATCTGTTTTTGATTGACTATACATGGCAATAAAAAAATGATCGAAAAAAATTTCTTTTTTATTGTTTTTTAAGGTTACCTTTATTTTTTTTAAATAGCATCTAGTATTTTTGATATAACAATACATTTTCTACAAGTTAACATTAAACTGCGATTTGCTCTCATGAATATACTTTTAATATTTTTTATATTTATAGCAAGCGGATTTTAATGATTTTCATATTAAATTAAAGTACACACTTTTTTCTAAGCGTAGAATACTTATTCGATTTATAATTCGATCTGC